TGACTGCAGATAATTCTAATATCGTTGTTTTATACAGCCATCCCGTTGATGGACAACAAGGGCAGTTTATCACATCACAAGTAATATATACATAAAAAGATTATCTCAATTATTAATCGGTGACTTTTAGGGCAATCTTTTAGTGAATTCACAGACGGGCATGCTAGAAATTCGAAATGGGACCACAATTGCAACAACTACTGCTAGTCAAATGGTCGTAAGCAACACTGTAGATACACCCACTGAATCCATTGAAATGATACAAAAGTAAGTTTTGGTTGTACTTTACATAATAAGAACGCAAATGTGCCCATGTTATTGACATTCAAAAAAATTTTTTGATAGGGAAATAGAAAGTCACACAGAACTTAAACAGGAGCCGTACTATGAAGAAGATAGGAAACCTAATATTACCCATATTCAACCTGAAAAAGTTGTAGAAAATTTAAATGAACAGCCAGAAGAGCAAGTTGTACAAAATGAAGAAATAACGGAACATGTAGAAAGTGAGCAAGAAAATCAGAATGAATCCTTGGAAGATACCAGGACGAATACCGAAGAGAATGAGGAAATTGTTCAAGAGGTATCAGCGGAAAATGAAGAGGTCCAAAGCTTAGAACGAGAAAGTGAGGACAAGAATGAAAATCAGGATAATGTGGATGGAAGAACAAATGTTTTAGAAGAACCGATGGAAATTGATGAAACAGAGCAGACAATTCGAGAAGAGGTAGCTACCAATGATCAGTCAGAGTCAGTCACGGTAAGCACCAAATTGAGGAAATGACAGGGTATCGCTTATATTTATTTTTGTTTTTAAGAAACCAGTGGAAGAAACACCTCCAACAGAGAAAGTTCCAGAACAAAGCCAGGAGGCAACGGAGAAAACTGCAGAGTCTGACGTGGAAGAAAAAGGAGAGGATGTGCCTCCTGATGTAGTAAATGTGTCCGAGTCATCTGTACCTGTATACGAACAGTCAGAGACTCTTATCATTAATGATCCCGCCCTTCTGTATGAACATGAAGATGATGAAAGTACAGACAAGGCAAGTAAAGATGTAAGTGATATTGACAAAAATCCACCCGAGCCAATGGAAGTTGACGGGAAAACGGAGGAGCAACCTCAAGAAGAAAAGGATGTTGAAACGAAAGATGAAGATAAAGTAGTTGAAGAACAAAGTGAAGATTGTGCTGATAACCAGAAGGATAAAGAAGATGAAAATAAAGAAGGTAGTATATTTTTCGTTTATTTGCTCTGGGGTATCATGTAATTTCCGTTTAATTCAATTATGTAATAATTTAAATGATGTTCCTCAACATAAGATACCAGAAGGTTCCCTTTGTTTTTATATAATGTAAAATAGTTTGCATAATATATTGTTTTATTTCAAAGTATAGATGTGGGTTTCATGGAAAAGTAAAATTGGGACACGTTTCCACGGACATGTCCGGAAAAGTCCGGACTAGTCGGAAAAGTTGGATCTAACCTCAAAAATAAAAATCTATTGGAGACATAGCAATTGGTACAACCTTTCAGTTCCTATATGTATTGTTTCCTTCCCGACAAGAATATTTCCACACTGCCAAGATTTTGACTTTTACTTATTACTATTACAGACTTTCGACAAATGTTCAATAAATATATTGCTGCTTTTAGTAGCGAGTTTGAAATGTAAACTAGTGTTGCCAGATTGTCAAAGTGGCTAATCTCTTTAAGGATTTTATTTTCATTATTAATGTTAATGACCTCTATATTAAATAACTTATATCTTCAACTTATTAATTACGATTATCATAGATTTATCCAATAATTCTTGTAGTTTTATCGTCAAGAAAGATATGCGTTTCCTGGAATATGGTTATAAATTGCACATTTTGGCAACCGTGGCCAAATTTTACAATAGCTATTTACAAGATTTACTGCGCATGCGCATCCTACTTTTCCACGTTGAAAAGTGCTAGTCCACTTTTCCAGGCAGATCTGATAGACATTTCCAATAGACTTATCTCACTGTACATCTTTATTTCAAAGGGACTTTTTTTTAAGGTAATGAAAGTGTTCAAACCCGAGCAGCAAATCCATCATGAAGAGGTGTCAGAATCAGCATCAGAATTTCAGCATCACAGTGAGATTTCCAACAGTCAGTCAAGTGATGAGGACGAAAATTCTCAGTCATCTCAGGAAAATGCTCAGAATAACAGAAATTCAAGCATAAATCAGACAATTCTGGACGACTGGGATGATACTGATTCTCAACAAAGTGAGAAGCAAAGGACGGCTATGAAGGAAGCAGCTGAAAATGTTAATAAATTGATGGATGACTGGGAAGAAGAAGAAGAGGAGGACAAGAGAGAAGCCAATTAGTGACAAAGGAAACTGGGAAATTTTTTGTTTCTGTCAATTGAGAAAAGAAATTATTTTGGGGGTGTTGATAAAATACTTCCTTTGAAGCGGCAGTTTTTGATAGCGAATCTCAATAATTTCATGCCATTTTATTGCATTTGCGTTATATTAAAAGTTAAACATTACCACCGAATTGTATTTTGAGTTCCAACCCAGTTTTGTTTTTAGGGGGGAGTGGGGCCAACATATTGTTGTTGGTGGGGAGTGGGGAAATGTACTATAACTACTATCTGCTTGATATCACATTGAATTTTAGATTTCTGATGATCTAATTCTTCCGATTTATTCTTACAATTTTAAAAATATGGAAATGTCGGAACCAATTAGTTCTTTTTATATATAGGTATACATTTTTTTTTTTTGTATTTCAGTCAAACTATACATTATATCAAAAGATCGATATATGTTGCCAAGGGCTTTTTATAGTCCATAAAAAATGTTTTGTAATTTTTTAAATTTGGTTTTGTTCTTTTATTTATTTGACTAGTGATTATCAGTCAAAAAATGTTTACATAAACACATTAAAAACCTTGTATATACAAAATATGATCAAACCTTTACTTTTTTATAATAGTAATATGTAAATAAATTCTTTTAGGTTATAATGGACGTTAGTTATATATATATAATGGTAATTCGTATTTACGCGTAAGATGTGTTTTATGTTTGTGTATAACTATTTGTAGCATTATTTACAATAAATAATGTCAAAACAATGGAATATTTTTTAATGAAATAGTTTACACCTCTCCCAATATAGCTCTGCCGGCGAGATGCGCAATCTGCCCCATATTACGAGGAAAGCCAAAGATATTCGAAGTATAATCTGGTGCACAACTGGGAGTTTAAGCACAGTAGAGGAACTCTCTACTGTGGTATAAACCTTCACTTCGCCTCCTGGTGGCTAAAAATCGCACTTTAAGTAACAACGAATAAATTTTGTTTACATTCGTTTGATTACGTTTGTATAGTTTGCTTGTAGGGGCTTTATTATCATTTTCGTAAATTTCATCGTTTATTCCACAATATGCTGAAGAAAACAGTGTATAAATACGACTGTTTTGTGTACAATTGTCACTCGAGAAAAAACTTTTTTGCCACGAAAAGTATGGATGAAAGCATAATTGATGGAAAAAGCATTAACTTCGGCAATACATGTTCATTTCAAACCAGACGACTATGATACAAAAGGTATTTAAAATCGTAATAGTGACATTTTCAGGTTAGGTACTTCCACAAATTAGTCAATTGCGCTGTGGTGATTTTAGTTCCCAATCTACAACAATTGTGGCGGTCATTGATAACCAATGGACCAATATTTTTAAACCTGTATCATCGCCAAGAAGATTAAACTTATTCTTCTTGTATCATCGCCACATTTGCTATATCAGGACGTGTGTTTTATGACCACCGAACAATTCTGTTATGCGTACGTAATTTTTGAGGAAAATGGGGTTAAGATGGAATAAATCTTATTCCTGCTGCTCTTTTGTCATTTAATATTTGAACTGAACACTTGAGTGCCCTTAGAATAATTTGTACGACTCCAATAATTTTCAAACGAGCATATAATGATAATAATACATATTTCTGAGAATATATCGTCCTTATTAAAATATAAACACTACACCTTACCACATAAATTAATAGACAAAGTAGCATTCAAATAGGCGGCTGACACGTGACAAAAATCGCCATATTGAAGAACCGTTTTGATGTATTACGGCTACTGGAAACAAAATATCTTGTGATGTGAATTTCATTCGATCAATTCACTGGAAGCGCAATCAATTCGCAAAAAGTTCGTCATGTTGGAGACTCATTCTGATTCTCAATATGTATAAGGATAACTTCTCACTTTTAGCAAGTTGAAATACTGATGCATGCGTCAGTACCCAACCCCCTGTATCCCTGAAGGTGCCTTGTGTAGGAGATGGGTACACACTGAGACAATGAGGGCTACCGTGCTTAAATTCACCGAGAGTGGCGCTAGTATAGTATAAGGTCCATTTCACTGAACGTTAGTTTTTACTATGGCTTTTTAATGCGAGTTTTTAGTACTTTTTAGAAAAATTAGTTAAAAAACAATTAACACAATGACGGCAGAATGGGAAAGTAGCAATTTACTTGCTCGGTAGGGAAATTATTGTACCTATCAGAGGTGTCTTATGTCATTAAAGTTAGGTTATATCAAGCATGAGCATGATGAAGACAACCAATGTGCATGATTATTACTTACGATTTTCTGTAGTGGACTCCTTTGGTAACGCATAATCGTCAGGATTAAATGTTCCTTACAAATACACGAATGTTTCGAAGGAGTAATGTTATCCTTGCGAATCGCTACCAACCACTGTTTTAGGCGAATTTTGCCTCTTGGAACTGCACAACACTGATAATTAACAAGTGTTTTTATTTACTGGTGTACAGAATAATTATAATAAAACCCTATAAACTTGTTCTGCTGAACAATAACTTTTGACAGCGATTTCTACTCACCAATGGCTCTAAATGGCGAGCCTAAAAACGGTAGCCCTCATTGAACACACCCATAATGTTCGAATATGCTAGGATTGATTTCTGGATTAGAAAACATCCTAGCTCCTCGACCGGGGATTGAACCCGGAACTCATTGGTGAGAGGCAAATGTACTTACCACTCGACCGCGAAGCCACTAATTGGAATTCATCTCGGCTTTTAACGACTTTGCTGCATGAATATTTGTTTACAAAACTGACTAAAAGGTGCTAAAACCAACTGGTCACGTTTAAACTTGACCACCCCATTTTAAATGTGAATATAATTTTTAACTGATTTCCGGTGATGTATCATAAAAGACCAAAAAATATCTCAAAATTGACCGGTAGTTTGTAAAATGGCCTGGACTGGAGGATACCTTAACTTTTCTCATGACCATACCTTCTATTCTTTGTAGAAATGGCTAGTGGCTGGTTTAAAATATAATCAGAAATTCATGACCAAAAATAACCCTTTTCGTATATTTAGCTAGTTTCACATAGCATTTTCCATTGACCAAACTGGGGCTGCATTCGGGAGGCACCAGTGTTGCCAACTGGTGAGTAATTATTCGTTTGATGAGAAAACCCATGTCAAACTCGAATGTGGGTAAAAGGTAGATATTTGGGTGAAATTTGAGTAATTTTTATAGTTAATAATTTGACATCATTTACACATTTAACGTCGGCATGGTTGGCACCAATGCGACACAATATCAACAGCAATGGAATGTTGCTCTCAGTGCACACTGGCACAGACTTGCGCACTGGTTACCAACGGAAGTGACAAGTTCAGTCACTGGTACAAATAAAGGGGGCGAAATACGTCATAAAGTTAACTTCTTTCAAGGTTTGCCATGTACTCTGGACATGGTCAAGCTGAATACCTACCCTATAAACAAATAGTTGTATAACCAACCACGTGGAAGGATACTTTGATAAAGAACTAATCGGCATTATAATTCTTCCTGAACAATTGGAATCAGAGCACATAAATTTACCCCTGGACTCTAGAAACTAACTGATTTTGCACAATATTTAAGCCAAGATTATTCCGAGTGTTCCCCTTGAATCATTTTCTTTGTAACCCCACTAGCGCTTTGTTTGTTACGCCACTGATCTATATGTAAATTAAATTTATACAATTCAATGTATACATCGGAAAATTTGGCATTACCGGCAAAAAGACAAGTCAGGATTTGGTATTTCAGACGAAGACTGGATTGGAAAAATTATTTTCAACTCGTTCTACTTTATGCTATAGCATAGAATGCATAAACTCTATGCAAAAAATTGGCGCCGATATCACAGATGATCTAAGATGCACAAAATTTCATTTCGTCTTTTATTTATTTTTATTATTTTTCATAATGCCCTCGTTATACAATGCGTACAATAAGGGAGAGAATATATTTAACATACAATATTATGGTAACAGACAACAGCGCATTCTGCAAAAATAGAAATTTCGCTGAAACTTGGCAACGATGTCATTGCCAATTGCGAGTATTGAAATAACGCAGACTTCTGTTATGAGGACTATTTCTAGCAATTTCATTGGCCGTTTTAAGATAGCCGCAGGGCATGCGCAGTTACATGACATGTCAAAGTGTATTAAATCCTTTTGGAATCGTTTGTCGGCAAGGAACTCGTTAGGCGATAGAGAAGAAACTCGCCTAGCACGCGGTAGGTCTACTAGGGTTCGAATCACAAACTTATTATTTTTTTTAAAATAAGTATTTTTTAGTTCGTTAGCAAGATTTTCCTTGCCCTTTATTATAGTTTATTTTCCTTGCCCTTTATTACAGTTTGTTTATTTCCAAAAGGGATTTAATACACTTTGACATGTCATGTAACTGCGCATGCCCTGCGGAAAACGGCCAATGAAATTGCTAGAAATAGTCCTCATAACAGAAGTCTGCGTTACTTCAATACTCGCTTGCCAATTTAAAGGGACGAGGTCACGGTGCCGCGGCGGTATATATCAAAAGATTTTGAGCTACTGTCGCCTCTGGGTTACTCTGTGCCGATATATACGCAGTAGTCACAACAGTGGCGTGCCATGAAAGCACTATTTACAAATTTTTCTAAAAAAAAAAAAAAAAAATTTACTCATTCATATTGATAGATTCAGATTATTTGTAGTGAATTTAATGCTCTCCAAGAAAGCATGTAAGATCTATCAGCCGCTTTAATATATCTCGATTCTTTTTTTGTCAACTATAAAAATGAAGGGTTAACAACATAAAGACATTTAAGCCACAATGGAAAAAACATTTGGAAAATCTCATTTTGAACGTTCACACGTTCAACTCAAAATTAGTCATGTTTGAAAACCGTTAAGCACGTGTTTATTTGTTTCTCTAATAGTTTTTAACTTTAGTTTAGGATTGTTGCAAATTGGTGTACATATTTACTTACTTTTAAACGTGCAGAACCGGCACGGAATTTATTTCCAAGTAATCGGAAATTCACAAATTATAGATCAACGACCTAACAGCGACAGCCGTTCGGTGCGCTTAGACTAGACTGGAATTGGTCGACCAAATATGCTTCCACCTCCACCGCACTGTGCCGACAAGCAGTGCTTGCGCGTCGCAATTCAGACTTCATTTCATCAATTTATGAAATACCACAAGAAATCAACACAAGAAACAAAAGTAAAAATGTGTGAACTTGTATTTTTATATTTAAGGAAGCACTGCATTTCTCGCTTCCATGAATTGCACGCCGCCAAGTTACAATACTTTTGGAGTAATAGTTGCAATACTTTTTGGTTTTTAAAATTACAATTACGCACAAACACCAGCAACAGCAATTAATTTTTATTGTATTCTATCCATAACTGAATAAAACAAGCATATAAATGTCATTTTTCAGTCTCACTTCGTTGAAGTCATAGTATAGATTGGTATTGAAGTCGGTTCTCCGCACGTAACCAACCTTTCGCAAAAACAAAAAATGCCTCGCAGGGAACAACGCAATCAGATGTATACATTTTATTTATGTTGTAATTAATATATCATTATTATAATGTTCCTCAACAAAACCAAAAATATTCAGCAATTTTCTTTTTTTAATCACTTACACTTATCCAATGCCCAATACTGGGCTGATGCAAAACAAAATTCCTTTCCTATAATTTCCATTTCCTTGAAAATACTGTTTGTATGGGGTTTTTATATAAAAAAAAGATGCAAGAGAAAAACCAACAATTTGTGTATTGTACTTGCTTTTATTATTACTTCCTTGTTACAGATGATCCATATTACAAATAATAATTAGAAATTCACAATAACTACAAACATGTACTTAAGACCTAATATTATGAACAAATGTGTCTTTTTTATGTTTGATTCCGTGAAGCAAGTACTATGATTAAAAATTAGAATGAAATTTTTATGCAAATATTTTTTTAATTTTTTTTGTGAGGAAATTTGTACACAGCTAGAAATCACTGTAGTTTTATTTTAAAAACAGACTACCTAAAAATGAAGCTTCCTGCATTATTTCATTTATAATTGAGTCGTTTTGTATTCTAAATAACCATACAATGATACATTTATTTTTTCCTTTAAGGCAAAGGTAAAAATTATACTAGATATAATAGGCACTATAACATAAAAAAATATTCTATTTCTAAACCTAAGATGCAAACAGTGATTGGCAATGATTTTTTTATTTTTTTTTGGGTTTATCGTTTATACAGGAAATTTTCAAAGAACTATCCTCGTCAAATAACACAAATATGAATAAAATGTTGCCAACCACTCATGCATTTCTACCAAAAAAAAGTAATAAAACTAAAACGTTACCGTTCCATTAATATTACTTTCATAAATATATGTAAATATATTTAAGTCGTTCAACAAGTTCACTGTTGTTCGAAAAAATATTTAACTTAAAAAAACCTCACACTTAAGAACAATGAATCACGAGGTTTCCACATATCGCTACAAAAAACCGAAATTTACAATGCAATATTACAGAAATATCACAATGCAACATCACAGAAACATTACATTGCGACATATATTTTGCAGAAACATTGCTTCATAATATTAAAGTAACATCACAATGCGATGTTTCCGGAATATCTTTGGAGAATTTCATTGCATCACAATGTAAAGTTACCTGGAATATTACGACGCAACATTTCCAGTAATATCACATGAAAAAAAAAAAAAAACTTCAAAAATCAGTGAACAAGTCGTAAATATTATTATACAATCGTAACTATTAAAAAATTAATTAGAAAAACAATAATACATTTTAAGTTGGATGTTCAGACAGAAGTATTCAACAGCACCATTTTAGTAAACAAACGTTTTTCATCCCTGAATTAGACATGAACCCAAGGCGAAAAATCTGTCGCTTAATTTAGTTCCTTTGTGCTTTAAAGTTAGCTAGCTTAATAAGGTGCAGATTGAATATGAGATTAATGAAAACTTCGCAACATTACAAATACCTAGTGTACACTTTTAACTAAGTTTGTTTTTTTTTTTTCTTTTTAAACACACTCAAATTATTTCAAACACACTCTACCTTACATGCTCAAAATTGGATTTTATTTATTTTTTTGTTATTATGGAGACAACAGAATTGAATTGTCGATATGACATGTCTAATGATATAGTTATTTTTAACAAATTAATAACTAGCTGCCTTCCCACAGGCTTGTACTATTAGAAACACAATTCTAAAACTAAGAGCATTTTTTATTGGATTTTTTTTTTATTATAGGAATATAACATCCATAATATTTAAATATTGGTTAGAGGTGGGCTTTTGCTTTAACTATATACACTATTTAATAATTGAAAAGTAGAATTTCTCTTTGAAACAAAGTCCTAATGCTAGGCAAATAATTTCTAACGCTAGATACATCTTAAGTGAATTTTACGGAGACATTACCAGGTCACTTGTCAGAAACCTTTTATGCAGAATTATGTGAATTTTCTTGAGGAAACTTGTGAATTATTTAAAAGGCCAGGGAAAAATTATAGTTTTAAAAAAGAAATCTTACTTTTAATTCATGAATAAGAGTACTTTACCAATCCTCAAAACACCGGCATTGGACAGACACAAATTTGAGCAAAAACCATCCGTAGTAATAAAAACTATTTACCTGAAAAAGTAAAAACAGCCGAATTTTT